AATTGAGCCCACTGAGCTGAACATCCTTGGGGTAACAGCTCTGTTTCCATGATGCTTTCTCTAGTTGTCACCACATATCCTACCCTTTGCTGTCTGCCCAACATGAAACTACCTCCATCATTGAAGAGCTCCAGATCTGGGCCAGTAAGCAGTCTATTAGTGAGGTCAGGCTGACCAGAGTATCATTGTCAATTGCCTCCTTACAGTCATGATCTGGGGGGTCTGCTTTGGCAGGCAGGAGTTCCATTGGGTTAAGTGTTCATACAGTCTCAAGACATACTTGGGGATTTTCACGTAATAGGCCCTGGACGTAGGCCATCCAAGAGGCAGCAAGCTACTTGTACCTGCTACTATTCATTAGAGCAGGTACTGAGTATGATACCTTGACGTTGATATTTTGTCCCAGAGTTAATTTGTCAGCCTCCTTAATGAGGAGACTGTGGCTGTCAGAGCTCGGAGGCATGGTGGCCACCTGGCTGACACCAGGTCAAGTTTCTTGGAGAGGTAAGGCACAGGTTGTTGCCAAGGGTCCAATGGATTGGGTTAGCACCCCTAGGGCAGTTTGAGTTTTTTCACAAACAGATTGAATTCTTGTGTGATGTCAGGCCAGCCGAAGGAAGGGACACTGCTTAGGTGGGCCTTGAGTTCCTCAAATTGATCTCTTGATTAGGACCCCAGTTAAAAGAGGCTGTCTCAGGGCCCCTGAGCTCATCGTGTAGGTATCAGGCATTGTCTGCAAACCTCAGTATCCAGATCTGGCAGAATCCTGCTGCAAGTTGAGTTAATTGTTTCCAGGATCCCTGATGGGGCAAGGAACAGACAGTTTGCTTCCTCTCAGACCCCAGAGATCAATGGCCTTCCAAGTTGAGAAATCTGAAGTATTTAACCGCTCACTGGCATATCTGGGCCATTTTCTGGGAGACTATAACCAGCCTCAGCCAGTAGTGCTAGTAACTTTCGTGTCCTGGACCAGCAGCTTGCCAGCAGAATGTGGTCCACATAATGGAGTAAGACACGGTTTAGATCCCTTCCTGGAAAGGAAGGACTTTTCTTTCTTTCTCTGGATTTTCCCATTCAAATGCAAACAGCAGCTGACTCACTGGTGCTAGTTGCAGGCTGAAGAAGGCATCTTTCAAGTCCAGACACATGAACTAACGAGCCTGGGGAGGGAGTGTGCTCAGAAGAATATATGGATTCTAGACAGTCAGGTGAAGGGTGACAGTTGTCTTGTTAATAGCTCAGACATCCTATACTAGACAGGAGGTATTCCCATCAGACTCCTGGACAGGTAAAATTGGAGTGCTCCAGAGAACTGACATTCCATTAGAATCTCAGCTTTCCTTAGACGTTTGATGTGATTCCTGATTCCCACCAAGTCTCGCATGACCCCAGATGCTGTCTTAGTCTGATGGGAATCTAGGAGGTTATATTGGTTTCTAAGGGAAAGATCACAGTAAGCCTGTAGGCATGGGTGGTGGATGTTGCAGAGGAGACAGGCTGCAAACAGGTTACAGCATAAGGAATTCAGCTATTTCCTTGTCCTTGGAGCATTGCAAACGTCCCACTTAGCTAACCTTCAGCTATTGAACAGTGTTGCTTATCTTTTTGTGGTGTAGGTGGCCTGGCTGGCCATTTCCTCCCTCAATATGTGTCACTATGTGTATTCTTTGGCCATGAATTTTTCTGAATTTGTGTACTTCTGAAGATCATTTTTATTGAAGAGAAGTGCAATTATAGGAGAAGCTATCTGCATTTGAGCTGTGAGCAATCCCTTTTAGGGGCTAGGACAAGTGAAGATTTTCTGCTCAGACTTCACCCTCCCAACCCCAAGATCTAGAGTGGTATAGGGCACCTTCTGTACTCTTCTCTCTGTCTCTCTCTTTAATTTTTTATATTATTATTATTTATTCTTAATGTAAAGCACTTCTTGGCTCTCAGTTTCTCCTTTATCTTGCTAATTCTCACCTTTCCCCCTCCCATTTAGAAGAGGCAAAGCATAGACCCTTTAGGAAGCCATCTGCATTTCAACTGTGAGCAATCCCTTTTGCGCAGCGTCCTCGCATGTCATGTGGTTTTCATTTTTTGCTTTTTAAAAATAAAAAAAAATTTCTTCTTTTTATTATTGTTTTTCTTTTCTTTTTTTTCTTTCTTTGTTTTCTTTTTATTTTTCTGTTACCTTTATCACTTTGCTCAGCCTCCATATACTGAGTGTCTAGGTGCACAGTAGCTAAACATCTGAATACTATTAGAGTCAGAATAATCCTCAATTCTCACCGAATCTGCTGCACCAACGGAGAAAAACAGAACTACAAAGAGATTGCAGATGACTTCCTCCACACCTCTGAACACTCAGATTTAACTTTAAAAAATTAGAAAGAAACATAAAATCTATCAGATGAACAGGGACCACTGCAGAGGCACAAGAAATATGAGAAACCAAGAAAATACCTCTCCCTCAAAGGAAAAGAACAACTCCTCATCATCCAAAGACAGTACAATGGAACTCGTAGAAATGTCAGATAAAGAATTTAGAATATTTAGTGACAAAGCTAACAGAGATGTAAGAGAAGAGAGACGATGAACTGCAGAAGATGCAAGAGAAAAGAGACAATAAGTTCCAGGAGGTGAAGAAGTTCTTGCATGAGTTGAAAGAAGTACATACCATAAAAAAGAATCACACAGAACTGTTAGAGATGAAGGCTGTAATATAAGACATTAAAACCTTCCTTGAAAGTATTAAAAGCAGATTAGTTCAGGCAGAAGATCGAATTTCATATGTAGAAGACAGAACCTCTGACATAGAAAACATCACTAAAAAGACTGAGAAAATAACAACGAAAAAATCGAGAATAATATATTAGAAATACTAGATATCATTAAGTGTCCAAACATCTGTATAATCAGTATCCCAGAAGGTGAAGAAACTAATAAGGACATTGATAATCTATTCCATGAAATCCTGGAAGAAAACTTTCCAAACCTAGAGAGGCACTCAAATACCCAGACCCAAGAAATGAAAAAAAAAAAAAAAACCCACATAGATTTAACCCAAGAAGATCTTCTCCAAAGGACATCATAGCCAGATTGGCCCAGACCACAAAGACAAGATACTAAAATTGGCAATAGAGAAACGTCAAATTACTTATAAAGGCTATCTCATCAGGCTAATAGCAGACCTCTCATCAGAAACAATGTGAGCAAGGAAAGAATGGGAAAATATATTTAAAGTGTTAAGTGAAAAACAATTTCAACCAAGAATACTATACCCAGCAAGATATATGAAGATATGGAAGAAAAGACAAAAACATTCTCAGATTAAACAAAACCTGACAGAATTTACTAACACCAAACCAACTCTACAAGAAGTTCTGAAGGGAATGCTATACCAGGAAAACTAAAGAAAGATACACAGAAATAAGAGCTAAAAAAACTACCAAGAAAATGGCCAACTTAATGGTAGAGACAAGTCCAGAATTGAATGTTAACTTCCAGAATTTAAATAAAAAGATTGGACCACAACAGAAGAGAGATTAATTACATGTGACTGAACTTGGGAAATAGAATTTTATGACTTTTAACTAAAACATTACTGATTTTCTTCTATGCTTTGTTTTCCAGACTTAAGGATTTTTATCTTCTCTTGAGCTGTTGACTGATTCACCTACCTACTGTTTGAACAGAATCCTAAACTTTTTCCTGGCTTTAAGTCTTAGGCAAATTTCTTTAAATTTTTTTTTTTCATTTTGATTTATTAAAGCTAAAACTACTTTTCTTGAAATTAAAAAATACATTTAAAAATACCTATTTAATGACCACTGTAAGCTATGTAGCCTCAGTTAGATGCTACTTTATAGTATGTTCATTCTACTCACTGAGTTTTATGTTTTATGCCTCAAGCCAGGCATGTGTCCACAAATATGTATTTATCAGCTAAACTTGCTACTGAAAGTATTTAGATTAATTAAGATATTTTGTGAATCAACAAAATGTGTGTGTTGGGGCGGGGGTAAAGAGCATGGAAACCAACTGTAAATGCCAAAGACAATGTGGGAAGAAGGTGAGAAATGGCAGAGGGTGAGAAGTAAAGAATCAAAGAGGGGAAGAAAAATATATAAGAAACAAGAAATGGAAAATAATTTGTTGACGATAACATGTTTGGTAATATCCTTGATTAAGACAATATACAGTTTATTCTGGGAAATTTTATTCTGTATGTTGTGATGTATAGTGAATGAATGTAAAATAAATAAATTTAAAAGAAAAAAGAAAAGTGCAAATATATAAATGGGGAGAATAATAATACATTAAATCCAATAGCAGGTATTATTTACCTCTTATTCCACCTATTACTATCACCTCCAACTATTTCGAAGTAAATCCAGATATCATATCATTTCATTTTTAATTATTTCAGTATGTTATCTCTAAGTGATAGACTCTTAAGACATATTGCCCCAATATCATTAGTACACCCAAAATATCAGTGATTCCTTAACAATATTTGATGAAAGGTTGAACATATTTTTATTGTTTTTGTTATCAGAGTAGTGAACTTTTTTTTTTTTGCTATAGGGTGCTTGCGCTTGCCAGACAGACAGAGAGAGACATAGAGACAGAAAGCGAGAAATCACTCCCCAGAGGGGATGGTCACGCCGCAATCCCTTCTCCTCCATTCTCCCCTCAGGATCTTGGGCACGCATGCACATGCGCCCGGCGTGAGTTTTAAGCCACTGGGTCCAGGACACGAACCGCGGTCAACTACGTGGGAGTCCAGCGACATAGCCATTACGCTAACTGCTGGTTCCCCAGAGTAGTGAACTTTTAAGGATTTCTTAAAACTTCAAAATCTACACTAAGCCCTTAACCTCTTTCCTCATTAGTACATTTAGATAAACAGACCATCTTTTTTCTTATTGATTGGTTTCTAAAGAGACTAAGAAAATCATTTCTTTAAAGTTTAATTCTTTACTTGTCACCATCTTTCCTATTTTAAAATTCAGATTCTGAATATGATGGAAGAAAATGAAACAGTAGATAAAATTGCCAAATTAGACCAGAATGAGTTTGGCCTGGATCTTGAGGAATTGGAAAGGCTTCGCAATGAAAGTGAAGAGGAAGTGGCAAAGGTATGGGTGAACATTTTAATTAAACATATATAATTAAGTAAATTATAATGAAAGAAGTAAAAAGAAAATAAGAAAGGGAACTTTTCCAGAGTAATGTAAATAAAGCAGACAGTGCATGTAAGTGCATGAGTCAGAGCTCTGGCAGCTTGAAAAACACTCTGGGTGCACCTGCACAGAAAACTGGAGGAAAAAGAATTGCAAGGTGACCAGGCCTTCTTGAGGGGTAACTTCTCTCTCTCTCTTTCTCCGTCTCTCTTATTTTCTCTTGTGTGTGTGTGTGCATGTCCTCTGGCATTAAAAAAAAAAATTTCTTTTTTTTAAAAAGAAAACAGACCATAAACAAATTTCTGTAGTGTGTGACAAAAATAAACTGGACATGAGATTTATGCAGGTGATTTACTTCTGTGATCGAAGAAGACCAAATTAAAAGGGTGATGCTTCTGTTGAGAACTAAAAGAAGAAAGAGAGTTGGCCGTGCAAAGATCTAGGGTAGGAGGGTGTTAGGCAAAGGGACCAGCAAGAACAAAGGCCCAGAGGCAGAAATGGCTTGGAGTAGTCCAGGTACAGAAAGGCCGTAGCACAATGGATGTGAGAGAATGGGGTTGGGAGTGGCAGAAGGAGGCAGAAGTCAGTTCCTAAAGACCTGTATATCATGGTAAAAAAAAATTTTTTTTTTTTTTTTGGCGAGGTTTTTGCTATAGGGCACGTGCGCTCGCCAGACAGACAGAGAGAGAGAGAGACAGAGAGATAGAAAGCGAGAAATCATCCCCCAGGGGGGATGGCCACGCCGCAATCCCTTCTCCTCCATTCTCCTCTCGGGATCCTGGGCACGCACGCACACACGCCCGGCATGAGTTTAAGCCACCGGGTCCGGGACTTGAACCGCAGTCGACTACGTGGGAGTCCAGCGACACAGCCGTTACGCTAACTGCTGGTCCCTATCATGGTAAAAATTTTGGCTTTTGTATTAAATGTATAACAGGAAGCTAGGAGAAATTATCACATTCTCTTATCATAACATGTGGGCACCAATCTGGGGGCTCTTTGGATGTTACTTTTAGCATCACAACAATCCGAAGAGTTAGCCACCCCCACCCCCACCCTCCACTCCATGCTTGGAAAGTGAGACTTAGAGAGCTGAAGTCACTTAGCCAAGATGAGAGCCAGGAAAAGCTCCCTGTCTGCCTCTACCAGGTTGCAGGCACTTCCTCCGTGTCTCTAGCCTGACTTGGACATGGACTGCCCCTTTGTTTCTGTACCCAGGCCATTCATCTTGACCAACTGCAGAGAGTTTGGATTAGGTTCCTGTCCTGTCCTCACCGTGTCTCTTCTCTATCCAAGCTCTGCCTGATCACCTGCACCCCTGGCCTCCTGAATTACTGCCATTGATGAACTCACCCTGCTCACCCCTGCCCCCACTCTACCACTTATCAAATTCCTGCACATCTCTTGAGTATTTACCTTGACCCTCTGAGGAGGCTTTGGTGCAGAGAAAGGCTGTTACACTAGCTTCCCTTATGTGGTTTATTTTTCTTGTGCTCCAGGCCCGTGAAGGGATAGCTAGCACCGGACTGGGAGTAATGGTGGTTGAGGAGAGAATGATGTCAGCAGATGGCACTCTAAATCCAACTGGCTTTCAGCATGTTTAGAGGCAGAATACTAGTTCTTGGGAATAGTTAGTGACCTCTACCTGTTAGGGATCCTAATCCTAAGGAGCCTAAACTACTAGCTAGCCCCAGCCAGCATCTCAGTAGGAAAAGGGCCAAAGTCCAATAGTGACAGGTAGCATTAGGGACTGAGCCTGGGGGGGTTGATTTGAGCCACAGCAGTGGCGAGAGGAGGAGCAAATGGGAATCAGTCAGATCTGACAACCAATATAACCAAACGTTGTTTATATAGAAAAGGTCATTTAAAAGTATTAAAGCCATTAACTCAATGGAGCAGAATAAAAAGAATTTTAAAAGGCAAATTAAACAGTTACTTGATCAGACAATAAGGCTGGAAGGCTGGACAAAAGTGATCATGGAGTGACCTAACCCTGTGGAGGGTCTCTCTCTCTTTTTTCTTGTGCACACACATGCTCTACCATTAATTTTAAAAATAAGAATATTTAATTACTGGACTCTTAAGTAACAGGATTACTTATGCAGATAAAACAAATTGAGGTATCATGTATGTTTTTCTTTTTTAACTTTTTTTTTTAGTTTTTTTAAAATTTTTTGGATGTATGTTTTTCTTTTTTAACTTTTTTTTTTTAGTTTTTTTAAAATTTTTTGCTATAGAGCATGTGCACTTGCTGCAGAGAGACAGAGAGAGGGAAAGTGAGGAATTACCCCCCCCCCCACGCTGGGGAACAGCCATGCTGCAATCCTATCTCCTCTGCTCTCCTCTCAAGATTTTGTGCACACATGCATGCATGCCTGGCATGTTCTTCAAGCTACCAGGCAGACCTTGAACCATGCAGTCATGGGATCTAGTGCCTTAATCACCATGCCATCTGTGGCCCAGTTTTGCTTTTGTTTTAATTTCCAGAGAGTGTGTGCACTCACTATACAGGAAGAGAAAAAAAGCATCCCCCCAATGGAGTATGGACATGCCTCAGTCCTCTCTTCCATTTCTTCATCTCATTAAGATTTTGGGCACACACACATACATACCTGGCATGCTTTTCAAGCTACTAAGCCAAGACTCAAACTACTGTCAGTCATGCAGGATACAACTCCCTTAACCACTAGGTAATGGAGCTGGTCCCACATATGTTTTAAGATGAAAAAATATATAAACTATATGATCCCCAAGAGTAGAGGAGCATTCTTTTTATTATGGCCATAATAGAATTAAGTGCAGTAAAGACTCCCAGACAGAGGTCATAAATTGGCACTTCAGATGTGTGTTGACCAGAATTAAGCCAACATTTAGATATCTGACAGTTTCACATAAATATATATATTTCAGAAAACGGGAAGACTTGGCACAGCAGTTTTATTTTCCCATGGTTCCAATCAGCCCAGTGTGTGCATATTGCTATCCAACTTGCCCCAGTGATAAGTCTGATCTCACACCCACTTTGCTCATATATAAGGCCTGACCACCTTTTGAGACATTTGTGTTGACACCTAGTCCTCAGGAAGGGACTGACTCCAAGCCTATAGGTATAAATGTCAGAAAACATCTTCAAAAATGGGGATGTGTCCACCAAAAGTGAGTCTCACTGTGTTGGGGGAAAGACAATCAAGCTCTAACACTAAATGTGCAGCTACGTTCTCTCAGTGAGTTTACCATGGTGATTATCTTTTCTGAGAGGTCACATTTTCATTTTTATCTTTTCTGTTCATCTGTGTTCTTCAAGATGAGAAAGGACATAGAGATGCATAACCTAGCCAAGAGATATTTGGCTGACCTTATCAAAGAAGAATGCTGGAATTCGATGCTAGTGAAAGGTCGAGCTCTAAAGGTAATAGACATAATCCCAGACACAAACCTTTGGCTAATGAGAACTTCTCATCGACAGTCTCATGGCAGAAAAACTTTTAAAACAAATACATTTAAGAAAACCCATAGCAAAGCACTGTGGAAACATGTCTTGCCCCTTCCTATATGAATTCCTTCTAGATGTATCATTGATCTCTTGACTCATATTTCCCTCCTTGCTCACTCCCTAGGTGCCTCCAAGCCAGCAACTCTTAAGATTCGTCTTAGCACTCCATTCCTTTTTGCCTCTGTGAGAGTCCCTGCATCCATGTCTTAATACCTGTCTACTCCAAAAGCCACCTCACTCCCATTCCACATAGATAGAAAAGTAGACAAAATACTGTTCACATTTCTACCTATGTCTGCCTTCACGTTTTCTAAAGAGCTGTTTTCCATGCCTTTTCATGGAGACTCCTCCCAATACAATTTCCCTCTTTATGCAGGGTGACTCTGTGGTTCTAGAATAACTATAAGCAGTATCCTTTCTCTTCATTCATTTGGAGAATGAAGCGTGTGGTCACCCTACATTTATGTAATGGAGTATTGCTCTGAGCAGTTTCTTAAGACCCGCACCTTTTGGGCTGGGAAATTCTCATTGTGGCAAACTGTCCTGTGCATTGAGGGAGGTTTGGCAATATCCCTGACCTCTGTCCAGTAGACAGCAGCATCCGCACCCCAGTACCGACAATACAAATGTCTCCAGACATTGTCAGCTGTCTCAGAGGAGGGGAAGAAGTAGGAGGGAAGATGGGATGTGGGCAAAATTGTTCCTAGTTGAGAACTCCTACTCTAGAAATAAATTCTTCACAAAAGCACCATATTTTGTAAAGATTTTATACATTGTTTTGTTTTAAAGAAGTTTTCCATTACCAATTTCTCTCATGTAGTATAACTCATGAGTTAATTTTATTCAGGGAAAACATTCCCCACTCCATCCCAGATACATACAATGGTACTAAAAATTATTTATTTCATCTTGCTTTTTTTTTCCTCCAAGTGCTTTCACATCCCCTGTGTAGTTGAGAACTTCCCAATGAAAGAGCGCACAGCTGAAGACCTGCAAGAATTGAAGAAAGTTTTGCAGCAAAAGAAGATCGAAACAGAGTGTCTTAAAGTACATCTGAATATATACGTGTTTATAAAGTGATGTGCTTAATTTGGGGTCTCCTTCACACAGATTTGAATTGAGATATAATTTAAGATACGTTTAGATATTATATGTGCAAGGGGAAGTAAACTATGGAAGTAAACTATGAGGTTATTTTGGTGCAAAATTTTTAAATCCTAGTTTTAAATGCCTGTTTTTTTCTCGTACATATTTTCCACAAACTTCTTATATTTTTATTTCTTATGAATTTGTAGAATATATTCATCAGAATGCCTACATAATAAATCAGGGATCCTATATTCTATGCATCACTGGCTAGCCCTTGATTATAAGATATATGCTCTTAATATGAGATTTGGGATTTTGTTCTTATCCTGTTCAGAGATTGTCTTCATTAACACATATTCTTTTTATCTTCCCTTATTACTAGGAGTTGTAATACCAAGAAAGAAATAGAATATATTTTGATGAAATCATGGTTTTCCTAAGGCAACCCCAGCCTTTTTAAGCAATAATCTGTGTCAAAAAACACTGTCCTTTTGGTGTAGTTTTGTTTTAGTCAGAACTTGCACACATTCTTTTTCTGAAACATAAAACAAAGGCACACTTAATTCTTCTTAACCTATACCCACCCAGTCCTATGTGACAAGCTGCTTTGTAAAATATGAAGATGTATTTTTAATGCTCAAGTACCAAGAAAGACTCAAAATATTTACAAACAGGTGTCATTCTGACAAAAAATTATAAATATTACATACTTCAAAGACAATTTTTTATGCTTTTGATTTATCCAGTTTATTCGTGTTCAAAGCTTTAATCTCTTATGTAGTAGTTTTGGGATCTATCCATCACTTTGAATTCAGTTCTTGGCAAGATAATTTAACATCTTAAAATGATTGTTGAAATAACTAAATTGTTATGAAATTGCCCTTTAGAGAATTCTTGTTATTGCATAACTTGTCATCTTTTTCTATATTTAGTTACGGAAGGAAATTGTAGAGGTTCAGTCTGCAGTTACTTTGGTCCAAAAACATGAAGAAGATGATGAAGAGGAAGATGAAGACAAGCGATTAATCAATACCAACTTGCCCAATTACCTGCTTGGTAGCCTAAGTACTGATTTTGGGATAGATACCTCTTTATTATCAAGCCAATTGGAACTTCATTCCAGAGAGGAGAAAATCAACCAGATTATATTACTGAAAGTGGGTGAATTTTCTTTTTATCCTGAAAGAAATCTCTAAAAACTCCCTATCAGGTATCCTTCTAGGGCTCACATTGAAACCTAGTGCCAATTAAGTTATGTCTTTAAAATAAATAGAGAAATACACAGATTGCTAGTGTCCATGTCCTTTAAACATGAACTTGTGTATTAAGAGTTGCTTTCAACCATTCAGACTGGTTTTTTTGATAAGTTTTCTAAAGAACGTCTCACATTGCCTGACACCACAAACTATGATTCTGGTTAGATCTTCAGTAAGTTAGAAGATAAAAAACAAGTTAAACAGTAACAACAAAAACCAAAAAACCTTTCATTCTATCATTTCAGTAACCCAGTTATCAATTAAAGATCTCCTTGTAATAGCAAGATATGATTTTTTGTTTGTAAATATATAT